AAACATGGATCACATGTCCTCTACGGTTGGGAATGAGACAGGATATTTACTACCAGTTCTATTCCACTTCATACTGGAGGTATGAGCCAGAGGCAGGAGATATTAACTACTAAGAAAAACAGTTTAATGTATATAAAGATTATCTAGAAAGGAATAAACTCAATTTTCTTTATTCATAGATGACATTATTGTACATATTAAAAATTCAGGGGCTGGGGTTATGGCTCAGCAGTAGAGTGCTCGCCTCACATGTGCAAGGCCCTGGGTTCGATCCTCAGCACCACATAAAAATAAATAAAAGTTATTGTGTACAACTATAAAAAATTTTTTTTAAAAATTCAATCTATAAATAAGCATTAGAATTAGTTCTTCCCAAATTGGTGTACAAATTCATGTAACTTAATAAAAATTTCAGTGAAATGTTTTTGTGGACATTGTCAAGCAGAATCTAAAATATACATAAAAATGCTGAAGTTACAAAAAGTTAAGATGATCCTGAAAAAGTTGAAAGATTTTCAATATCAAGTTTTAAAACTAATACAAAGTACATTAAGACAGGCAGTATTGTCACAAAGACAGACACACTGAACAAGGAAAAGAACTGGAGATCAGAAATATACCTAGGCATTTATGGTCACAGTCTTTTCAATAAATAGTGCTTGAGTAACTGGGTTTTTTATATAGAAATAAAATGAACTTAGATGCTTACTTCACATATACAACAAAATTACTGAGTAAATTATAGATTTGTAAAAGTTAATCAACCTTCTAAAAGAAAACACAGAAGAATATATTAATGATCTTGTGATAAGCAAAGACTTCTTAATCAAAACACAAAAGCACTATGAAAAACTGATAAAAATTAAGAACTTCTGTTTATGAAAAGACTTATATATAGGACTTCATCCAGAAAATATCTTCTACAGATTGGTAGGAAAAACAGACAACTCAATTAAAAATGGAAATAATACTTAAACAGGCACTTCTTAAAATAGGAGATCCAAACAGCTAATAAGCTTAAAAACATATGGGAAACATAAATTAAAAATACAGTAAGAACCCAGAATAGCTAAAGCAATCCTTAGCAGGAAGAGTGAAACAGGTAGCATCACTATATCAGACGTTCTACTATTCTACAGAGCAATAGTAAAAACAGCATGGTATTGGCACCAAAACAGACTGGTGGACCAATGGTAAGGAATAGAGGATATAGAGACTAACCCACAAAATTACAATTATCTTATATTAGACAAAGGTGCCAAAAACCTCCGTAGGAGAAAAGATAGCCTCTTCAACAAATGGTGCTGGGAAAACTGGAAATCCATATGCAACAAAATGAAATTAAACCCCTATCTCTCAACTCAAAGTGGATCAAGAAACTAGGAATTAAACCAGAGACTGCATCTAATAGAAGAAAAAGTAGGCCCTAATCTTCATCATGTGGGATTAGGCCCCAACTTCCTTAATAAAACTCCTATAGCGCAAGAATTAAAAGCAAGAATCAATAAATGGGATGAACTCAAACTAAAAGGTTTCTTCTCAGCAAAAGAGACAATCTTTGAGGTGAATAGAAAGCCTACATCTTGGGAGCAAATTTTTATCCCTCACACATCAGATAAAGCACTAATCTCTAGGGTATATAAAGAACTCAAAAAGCTAAACACCAAAAAAACAAATAACCCAATCAATAAATGGGCCAAGGACCTGAACAGACACTTCTCAGGAAAGGATATACAATCAATCAACAAATATATGAAAGAATGTCCATCATCTCTAGCAATTAGAGAAATGCAAATCAAAACTAAGATTACAATTCATTCCTATCAGAATGCCAGCTATTATGAAGACAAACAACAATAAATGTTGGCAAGGATGTGGGGAAAGGGATACACTCATACATTGCTGGTGGGACTGCAAATTGGTACAGCCAATATGGAAAGCAGTAAGGAGATTCCTTGGAAAATGGGAATGGAACCACCATTTGGCCCAACTATCCCTCTCCTCAGTCTATACCCAAAGGACTTAAAAACAGCATATTATGGGGACACAGCCACATCAATGTTTAAAGCAGCACAATTCACAATAGCTAAACTGTGGAACCAACCTAGATGCCCTTCAATAGATGAATGGATAAAAAAAAAAGATGTGGTATACATACACAATGGAATATTACTCAGCAATAAAAGAGAATAAAATCATGGCATTTGCAGGTAAATGGATGGAGTTGGAGAAGATAATGCTAAGTAAAGTTAGCCAATCTCAAAAAACCAAATGCCAAATGTTTTCTTGGATATAAGGTTACTGACTCATAGTAGGATAGGGAGTGGGAGCATGGGAGGAATAGATGAACTCTAGAAAGGAGAGAGGAGTGGGAAGGGAAGGGAAGGGAAGGGAAGGGGCAGGGGGTTAGCAATGATGGTGGAATGTGTACATGTATGAAGAAACGAATTGGTGTGAATATACCAGAGGTATGAAAAATTGTGCTTTATATGTGTAATGCATTCCGCTATCATTTATTTTAAAAAATCAATTAAAAATACAATAAGATACCACCTCATAGGGCTGGGATTGTAGCTCTGTAGTAGAGCGCTTGCCTCTCATGTGTGAGATCCTTGGTTCAATCCTCAGTACCACATAAAAATAAAATAAAGATATATATAAAAAGATACCACCTCACAAATAATTTTTTTTTGTACTGGGGATTAAACTTTATCACTAGGGGCTGGGGATGTGGCTCAAGTGGTAGCGTGCTGGACTGGCATGTGTGCGGCCCGGGTTCGATCCTCAGCACCACATACAAACGAAGATGTTGTGTCTGCCAATAACTAAACAATAAATATTAAAAAAAAAAAAAAAAAAAAAACTTTATCACTAAACTACATCCCTAGCCCTTTTTATTTTGAGACAGAGTCTTGCTAAGTTGCTTAGGGCCTTGCTAATTTGCTGAGACTGGCCTTGAACTTGCACTCCTCCTGCTTAGCCTCCTGAGTGTTGAAAATTTTAACTGGGCGAGGAGAAAAACCCTGAAAATATTGTGGAATAGTGAGAATACAGAGCAGCTGGAACACTTATATGTTGCTGACAGGAGTGTAAATTGGTTCAAATACTTTATAAACGTTTGGCATTATCTTTTGTCATTTATTAAGCTAAGTATATTCCCTATAATTCAATAATTCTGCTCTTAACATATCCCACAAAAAGAGGACATCTATTCTCTAAAAAATATGAAAAAAAATATCCAGAGAAGCTTTGTTCAAAATTTGCCTGAATTGGAAACAGTCCAAATATCCATCAAAAGGAGAAATACAAACACATAAACAAAGTGCAGTATAGTCATGTACTGTATAAAATGTTCTGGTCAATGATAGACCACACATACAATGGTGGTCTCAGAAGATTTATATTATCTACTTATGCAGCCATCTTAGTCTGCGTAACTATACTCTATGATATTCCCATTGTGACAAAATCACCCAATGACACATTTCTCAGAATGTATCCCTATAGTCAGGTGCCATGACACACCCCATAATTCCAGCTACTGAGGGGTGGGGGTTAAGGCAGGAGGATCTCAAGTTCACCTCAGCCCACTGTGGGCAATTTAGCAAGACCTCATTTGAATAAAAAGTGAAAAAGGGGTAGGGATGTAGCTCAGAGGTAGAGTGCCCTGGGGTTCAAGCCTCAGTATCACAAAGAATGTATCCCTGTTGTTAAGCAAAGCATATCTGTATATTTATAAAAATGGTATTACTATCACACAAAAATGAAATAACTATTGAAAGATGTAATGTGTAAATCACAAAAACATCATGTTAAATGAAAGCCAAACAGAAAGATCATATACCATAAGATTCCATATATGTGAAATTTATGTAAAGGCAAAACTAATCTATGGTGATAGAAATCAGAATAGTTTACCTCTGGCAGACTGCTGACTGGGAAAAGGCAGAGGGAACTTTTTGAAATGTTTTTAATCTTGTTTAGGTAGTAGTTTCATAGGTATATACATCAGTAAAAAGTTATCCAGTGTACATTGATTTGTATACTTGTTGGGCACAGTGGCGCAAACTGGTAATCCCAGGAAGGTTGAGACAGGAGGACCATGAGTTCAAAGCCAGCCTCACCACTTAGCATGGCGCTAAGCAACTTATTTATTTATTTTTAATATATATATATTTTTTTTAAAGAGAGAGAGAATTTTTTTTAATATTTTTTTTTCGGTGGACACACATCTTTGTTTGTATGTGGTGCTGAGGATCAAACCCAGGCCACACGCATGCCAGGCGAGTGCGCTACCGCTTGAGCCACATCCCCAGCCCCTAAGCAACTTATTGACACCCTGTCTCAAAATAAACTATAAACAGGGCTGGGGATATGGCTCAGTGGTTAAGCATCCCTAGGTTTAGTCTTCGATACCAAAAATTAAAAAAAAAAAAAAAAAAATTGTTTGCTTTGCTTCTGTAAATTATACTCCAGTATAAAAATCCCAACAGTAAACTGAAATTGACTAAATCACCTTTTAAAAATCAACTTTAATGAAGCAAGACAAACAAAATGTATTTAAAAAAATTTTTTTTAACTATACGTGAACATATCTTTATTTTGTTTATTTATTTTTATGTGGTGCTGAGGATGGAACCCAGTGCTTCAAATGTGTGAGGCAAGTGCTCTGCCACTGAGCCACAACCCCAGCCCCACAAAATGGTAATTAAAAAAAAATTTTTTTTTAGTTGTTGATAGATGTTTCTTTCATTTATTTATATGCGGTGCTGAGACTCAAACCCAGTGCCTCACATATGCCAGGCAAGTGTGCTACTGCTGAGCCCCATCCCCAGCCCCAAAATGCTAACTTTTGGTGAGACTTAGGTACATAGGTGTTTATTTTCTTGACTTCTGTGTTAGAATGTTCCCCAAATGGAAATTTAAATAAATAAAACAAAAATTCAACAAAGTTTAAAATTCACCTTTACCATTATTTTGAAAGTTAAATAAGAGCTTACCTTTCCTTCTGTTGCTTTCTTTGTTGATGAAATTTCCTTCATAAGCTTTGGAATTTCCCTGTAAAATTGTGAAGAAATTCTGTAACTTCTAAGGTGGAATATTTTTACAGAACTATTTTAAATTTATAAAATGTACTACAACATATTGAATACCTAAGAAATATGAAATAAAAATTAAAATGGGTTCACATACTCTAGTACAACTGCAATATGCCGATGTCGAATTTTCACCCAGAGATCATCATCTTCTTCAAGGATTGCCTCCTTTTCTTTTCCATCTGTTTTGTATCTACAAGAACACAAATGCAAAAAACTTTTGGATTTTTTTTCCCATAAAAGTGGGAGAAACACTTTCATGAAAAATACTTTTGAAAAACTGAAAAGTAAATATACTCAGACTATTACTAAAGGAGGAAAATGAATACCTACTCAAGATGAATACCTACTCAAAACTAAGGCACATTGCTATTTTTTTTGACCAGGGATTAAACCCAGGGGTAATTCCATGGAGTAACATCTCCAGTTCTTTCTGTTTTTTATTTTGAGACAGGGCCTCACTAAGTTGCTGAGGCTGGCCTCAAACTTGTGATCTTCCTGCCTCAGCCTTTTGAGTCACTGGGATTACAGGTGTGCCACCACGTATAGCCATACTGCTCTCCTTTCATTAAAAATCAGACTGCTATACCTAGCAAGATATTTTTATTCTTAAATGTTAGGTTTATAAAGTTTGGCAAAATTTTATAAAATTTACAAAGCAAAAATTCAATGTCCTACAAACAACTTTAAGAACAAGACTGAATATACTAACCATTTGTGTTCTAACTGCTTAAAACACTACTGCAATGTGTTAATAGATCATAGCACAATTATCAAATATTCATTAAGAACAGAAATGTCACCCCAATGTAATCCTATGGAAGGTATTTCAGAGTTGACACAAAATTCACAAACATCTAACATCTGTTTCTTTATTCTTCCACAATCCTGTAACTTATATCTTCTTTAATGAATGGGAAAAGAAGTGAAAGATAAGATAGTCATAAAAACACTATGATAGCTTTAATGAGTTCTATTTAAGTGACCAGCAACTCAAGGGGTTCATAAAGCACTCAAAATGAGATTCAAAACAGCTTCTCCTAATGGAATTTCTCCCTTTTAATTCTAGTCACCCTTGGGAAGAATCCATTGTCCTTGGGATTGCCAATTTCCTCAGCCAAAATTAGAAAGGACTGCATTAAGCTTTCCTAGCTCGGACTGCAGACAATACCTGTAGTTGTCTGCTATGTGAATACAATACTTTCTGTAGCTCAAAAAAATTATAGGTCCAACCTATAAAATCATTCCCCTGTGTGGTCTTAATTATAGATGCCCAAAGATAAAATGGCTGTGCTTTATTACAAGACAGCACTTAGGACAGGGGGCACTTTTGTCATTTAAAATGCCACTTTGTACTTAAATAATACCCTTTTTTATGCCCACATCTTTATTTATATGTATGCACATTAATACACATATATCCTAAGACACATCTGTCTATTTTTCCAATGTATGCATGACATGACATATAGAAATGTTAAATAATACCTTTGACTTTTAAGTGATTTACAAAGATTAATCTATCAGCAAGCCTCAATACTCAAAGATAATGACAATCCCTTAAGAGTAAATTTAAAGAGGTGACTAAGAACAACAAAAGAATCTGGATATTCAGAATTTACTGATTATTCTGATTCTGTTAAAATTTGGGTGGGGGATCAGCAAGGAGGTGAATCTAGCTACAATGAAGTGAGCACGGGGGAAAATAAAAGGCAATAAGGTCAAATAATAATGGAGGGAGAGCATAAATGATGGCCTTGAAGACCATTGCAAGGGCTCTAGCTTTTACTATGAGGAAAATGGGAAGCTTGGGCTGGGATTGTGGCTCAGTGACAGAGTACTTGCCTCACACGTATGAGGTACTGGGTTCAATCCTTAGTACCACATAAAAATAAATAAATAAATAAATGAAGGATTGAGTCCATCTACAACTAAAAAAAGAAAGAAAGAAAGAAAATGGGAAGCTATTTAAAAGTTTTGAGAAGTGATTTCATACAAACTGACCTAGGTATTACCAAGATTTTTTTTTTAAACACTGTGTTGAAGGGAAACTGAAGATGGGCTAAAGAAGCAATAGACACCATTTAGAAGCACACTGCAATAAACAATAGGAAAAATTATATGGACTAGAACTAGCTTTAATTCTGGATACGTTTTGAAAATGTAGCCATAAAGATTTGCCAATGAATCCAATGTTTTTGAACTTGACTGGCTGTTAAAATGTGAGAGAGATGACTGAAAATTTTGGCTTAAGTAACTATAAAACTGGACCCACCATTTACTAAGATTGGGAAAACTGGTTAAAGTAGTATGAAGTGGAATATCAGAAGCTCAGGTTTGGACATACAAGTTTAAGATGTTTATTAGACATTCCAAGTATGAGATATTCAATAAGGCAGTTGGATATATAAATCTCAAGTTCAGGAAGGTTTAGAATAGACATAAATTTGAGATCCAAGAACAGAAAAATCTTGGGAATGAGTGTGCTTCTGAAAGAATATAAACAGGGATAAGTTCCAAAAACTGAACACTAGAACGTTATAATACTGAGAAAGGAGGCTATGAAAACTGACTTCTGGATTTAGCAACACAAAGGTAACTAAAATATTTTTTATTTTTAGTAATAAATCATGTCCTATATTTAAAAAAAGAAGAAGAAAGAAAGAAAACTGCTGGGAACAGTGGCACCCACCTGTAATCCCAGCTACTCAGGGAGGCTGAGGCAGGAGGATATCAAGTTCAAGAACAGCCTCAGCAACTCAGCAAAACCCTGTCTCAAAAATAAAAAATACAAAATAAAAGGGCAGGATCAGCTGGTGCAATGGCACACACCTGTAAACCCAGGTCTGCAGGGGACTAAGAAAGGAAGATCATAAATTCGAGGCCAGTCTGGGAACTTAGTAAGACCCTGTCTTAAAATAAAAAATAAGGACTGGCGCTATAGCTCAGTGGCTGAGTGCCCCTGGGTTCAATACCCAGTATTCCAGTCAATCAATCAATCAAATTGTGACAGAGCACCTGGAGTTTATGCTAATCTGTGAATTTTTTTAATTCTGGGAAAGGCCATGTGTCTTTAAAAAAACAAAAACAAAACAACAAAAAATATAAACTAAACCTTGCCGTGCTTGCCAGCAAACCTATAGAGATATATATTTTAAAAGCAAGGTTAGAATTTATATCTATATTATTTACATATGTCAAAATTCTTTATTATCCATCAGCTTATTAATTCATTTTTAAATCTCTTGAGTACAGTTTTATAGACTTAAATGAAAAACCAAGGTAAATAATACTCCTTCAGAAAATTCTAAGTAAACAGCTAAAAATGACTTTCATATTAGAAAAATATTGCTTTTTCTGTTAACTAACATTAACGCAAATCACACAGAAAAATTCAGAAATATGAGTGACCAGAATGCAAATTAAAAATACAATAGAAAATACAAAATTATTTTACCAATATTTGTTTGAGAAAAATTATTAAATACTATAATTATCAAAGACTGTAAAGGGTTGGGGATGTAGTTTAGTGAAGTGCTTGCCTTGCATGCACAAAGCCCTGGGTTCAACCCTCGGTACTGGGAGGAAAGCTGTTTGTATCTTTTTAATAAAACTACAAAATTAAGCATAAAATTTCAGAAGACTAATTTTCATTTTTACTATTATACTCAAGTAGTAAATCTTAGCTGAAAATGCCAATTAGAAAAAACATATATAATGTATACATACACATACCCATAAATGATATACAAGAATAAGTGAAATGGTTGCATGATAGAAAAGCTATTCATATTTCATTGGCTTTTTAACTGATATTACTTTTAAGGTACATATGCTATATCAAGGGTTAAGTAAATTAAGTTTAAGAGTAAGTAGGTAAAAAATTGTGCCTATTATTAATAGCCATCCTACTTTGTTTTCTAATATCTTAATTTTTTAAAATACATTTCATTGACAAGACACTTTTGGGTGTATGATTCAGAATAATCACTGCCAAACCATTCTGAATAGCATTTCTGCTTCCAAAAATATAACAGTGAGCTTGATGTTTACTTTTTAAAAAAAAATTTATTTATTTATTTATTTTTAGTTTTCGGCGGACACAACATCTTTGTTTGTATGTGGTGCTGAGAATCGAACCCGGGCCGCACGCATGCCAGGCGAGTGCGCTACCGCTTGAGCCACATCCCCAGCCCTGATGTTTACTTTTAACATAAATGAAAAAGTCCAAATTTTATCTGTTTAAATGTAGCTTTGCTGTAGACTAGTTAAGGAGGCAAACACATTCAAAAAGCTGACAAAGTCAATATGTTTTTTTAAAGATTATGATTATAGGTGTAAAAGTAGTCTCTGAGTAAGAAAGTTTACAAGTTTTTCAAATTTCTGATCCTTCATAAATTATTAAATGCTCATATGCTATCCTGTTTGTATATGCCCTTTATATGCCCTTCAAGTTATACTTGCTTGTATGTATCATTCTCAATTGGTAGTAGATCATATGCCATTGCCTGAAAGGTCAGTTCATGCAGGACAGTGGACACAGGATCAAAGCCACGATCGATTATTAAGAGCTGGGAATGAGTTTTACCCTAGAATAACAAGATAAATTTATCTTAAGAAATTTTAATTTTGGGGGGAACATATTTTTAATATACTTAGAAAATAAAAGCAGACTTTTCCTAAGTTCTGATCCTCCCCACCAAAAATATACAATAAAACAAAACAAAACAAATGGTTAATTTCCTCAAAGAGTGAAGTTATAGTAAGACAAGAAAAATCTGAGTGGTACACTATGGAAAAAATACATATTCATATTTAGATTAAAATACTACATTTAATATTTTCAAAATTTCTTTTAAAAAAGTAATATTTAGCTTGCACTAAATCTATTAAGAATTCAACTTGATAAACACTAAAACTGATGTAAATTATGAAGAGTTGTTACTATTTAAGCTCTTGTATTAGACATTTTGCTAAGTAAGAAATACATACATTATTTCATTTACTATTCAAAATATTTCAGGTTCTTGTAGCAACCCTATAAGACAGATACTGTTATCTCCACTTGACAATGTGGCATTAAGGCTTAAAGTTAAATAATTTGTCCAAATCACACAATGGAGTTTAAAATCCAAGTTGGTTCTATTCCAATGATTGTGCTTTTAATCATTATGATACTTAAAATACATTGGTGCCAGCTAAGATGATAAATCACAAAGACTGTTAATTCACAAACAGCACTAATCACTCAATGGCAAACAAGTATTGGGAAAATTCACTGTTAGTATTGCTTTTATGTCATTTTCAAAAGTAGTAAATTCTTTGGCTTATTATTCAAAGCAAAAAAAGATAAGATAAACATTTTCTATTTATTTACATATATCAGGCAGAAGTAAATCATATACGTTAAACTTCAATAAATGTACTTAAATTAAATTCACTCCTTGTTATGGCTTATCATCTGGAATGTCCCCTCCAAAACTCAGGTGTTGAAAACATGATCCCTAAGGCAGAAAGGTTCAGAGATAGGGCTTTTAGGCAATGAATGGTTCTGGGGCTCCAAAATTTGATGAATGAATCCACTGACAGCTAAATGAACTACTGGGAGATGGGACTTAGTTGGAGAAAGTAGGGTCACTGGTGAAGTTTTTGGGATTTATCTAGTCCCTGGCCCCTACCTCTCTCTCTGATTCCTGGCTGCTACCAGCTGAGAAGTTATCTTCTTCATGCCCTTTTGCTTTTCTTCACCTTACTTCAGGCCCAAAGCAATATGACCATAAACTGAGACCTCTGAAACTGTGGGCCAAAATAACCTTTTCCTCCTCTAAGTTGTTCTTGTCAGATATTTTGGTCACAGCGACAAAAAGATGACTAAATCACTCTTAATAAACTTTGAGATGGTAATGTACAATATTTAAGAGCACAGCATTTGGAATCAGATCTGGGTTTGAATTTATCTTTGGTCACTTTTCTTCTTATTTTATTTTTATTTTTTGTAGTTGTTGATGGACAGAATGCCTTTACTTTATTTGTCTATTTTTATGTGGTGCCGAGGATCAAACCCAGTGCCTCATATATGCTAGGAAAGTGCTCTGCCATTGAGCTACAGCCCCAGCCCTTGATCAGTTTCTTGATGTACGACCTTGAATAATTTCTTAGCCTGTTATATATCAGTTCTCTCTTCATAAAACAAAATATTATCACATAACATCTTCCTTATAAGATTGTTGTGCAGATCAAATACATTTATACCATGAAACACTTAGCACATTGCCTGGCAATTATTAAGTTCTCAATATATATGAGCTACAAGTCCTTGGAAAGGTCAATCAGAAAAAATACAATCTAAGTGCTATATCAGGGCTTAGGACTTATGACAGTATGTAGGGGGAAGTATTGCTTGGTATGAAAAGTCAGGAAAGATTTCCAAAAAGAGGTAACATTTATCAGGTTCTTGAATAAAAGGTATCAAGCATTTGAAGAGTATGTAATTACTTAGAATAGAAAGCACAAATTTGTTTTTTGTGGATGTTGCCACTTTTTCACTGAAATTATCAAAGATTAAACAGATTTACTAATATACTGTTTGTGTATCTCTTCATTCAACAAGTTTTAGTATACTGTTTATACGAAGTCATTCTATCTTCATAACAACCAGAATAACAGCTTTCACTGGACCTCCAAACCAAAAACTTATAAAAGCAACTAACACCATACCTAAACTTACATCCTCCATTCCAGGCAAGTTGTTCAGTTGTTAATTTTGCCTTTTTCTCTATGCCTCAACCTAAGGAATCCTGTTCCTTGCAAGAAAATCATGCAACAGACTTCCTACTTTATTATGGTGTACTCATTCTTATTTTTTTTTCTAAGAGTTTTGTTGATGTTGTTTTTCCTTTTTTTAAGAATTTAAACTTTACTTATTTGTTTGTATGTGGTTCTGAGGATTGAACCCAGTGCCTCACCTGTTCTAGGGGAGTGCTCTGCCACTGAGCTATAGCCCCAGCCTGGTGTATTCATGCTTGAACCTCAAGGGCCTCTTCATCTAGAATGCCTTCCAAGCTTCCAGTTGAGAATAAAGTAAGTCCCAATTCATACTCCCATTGTACTCTATATATTCTTCTCTCATTCCACGTTGTACTACATAGCACTGTAATTGATGGTTTCCTGGAATATCTTCTCTCCTAAACTATAGACAATTCCTTTCTTTCTTTCTGTAGCTATTAAATATGGCCTCTCTCTAGCACCTCCTCTGTCAGTTTCCACAAGCTCTTCATTCTTTAACCACACCTATATGCTGGTATTCCCCAGGTTCCAACTTTAATCTTTAATTGCATTTTTTTTTTCAATGCTGGGGACTCAAATCTAGGGCCACATGCATGATAGGCAGGAGACTCCCAACTGACCTATATCCTTAGCCTTGATTACACTATGTTATCTTTATTACAATAGTTATTATTTATTAACCTCCCATATGTGCTGAATACTTACATGTTAACTTAATCCTTATACCAATCAAGCAAGGTACTTATTATCTCATCCATTTAATAGATTTAAAAAAAAAACAAAACTCAAGGTCACATAGCCCATAACAGCAGAAATTTTATATTTATTAAATATTAACTCAATGGCAAACATTATTCTAAGAAATTTACATGTATTACCTTATTTAATTCTCTCACTAATTTAAAAAAATAGGTATTCTCTCTGAGGCTGGGGTTATGGCTCTGTGGTAGAGTACTTGCCTAGCACATATGAGGCACTGGGTTCGATCCTCTGCACCTCATAAAAATAAATAAATACAATTACTGTGTCCATCTACAACTAAAAAATATTTAAAAAAAACAGGTATTCTCTTAGCTTTTATTTTCTAGAAAAGAAAACTTAGGTACAGAGAAGTTACATAATTTGCCCAAATTAATATAACTATGAACTAAATGGCAGAGCCAAGCTGTGGACACAATGCTGACTTCAAAGCCCATATCTTCCCCTCTAAACCACACTGAGCACTACTCTCTCTGTTAATGATTCTTTAATCAGTATTGGAAGTCTATGTTAATGATTCCCAAAACAATACTAGAAAATGAATGAACAAGCTGCTTCGGCTTATAAAGAAATAATACAGATTTTATGTATAGTCACTATTTGCCTTTTATACATTACCTTTATTAGTCTCTTTTCATCAATCTTGTAGTAGTCTTCAAGTTTTTTTTCAACCAGCTGTGCAAGTTTACTGGCATTATCTAGAGGCTTACTAGAATTGGAAAAGAATATTCAAACAATTATTTTTCTTTCAAGACATACTTTACATATCAAAAAGTTGAATTCTGGGCTGGGGTTGTGGCTCAGTGGTAGAGCACTTGCCTAGCACATATGAAGCACTGGGTTCAATCCTCAGCACCACATAAAAATAAATAAAGATATTATGTCTGACTATAACTAAAAAAATTTTTTTTAAAGTTGAATTCTAAAAATGAAACCAAACTATTTATAAAATGAAAAATTTTATAAGCATGGGAAAATTCAGATAATAAATCAAATGTTACATAATGTATCCAGAATTTACAAATGCAAATCTTATCATCTGTGTCTCAGATTTTTTCAATATACAGGGAAAAAATATTACATATAAGTTGCAGTTCCCTTTATCCCCCACCCAAGTCCTGATCAGTTCTCTCCCTTGTCTCTATCCCAATACTCAAGGGCATCATTACCACAAATTTCGATGTATCCTTTGTCATTTCTGTTATTTGTGTATGTGTGTGCATGTGCGCACGCATGTGCAACATCTATTGACACATATACAACATCTGTTCATTTTATATCATTTAGTATCCCATCATATGATTACACTGGATTCTATATATTCATTTCCCTAAAGATGGACATTTAAGGGACTGGGTTTGTGGCTCAGTGGTATAGCACATGCCTAGCATGTGTGAGGCACTGGGTTCAATTCTCAGCACCAAATATGAATAAATAAATAAAATAAAGGTCCATTAACATCTAAAAAAGATGGACATTTATTTCATAATTCATCCTCAATTTTTAATTTTTTATTGGGGTACTGAAGATTGAACACAAGAGCACTCTATCTCTGACCTGCATTCCCAGTTTTTTTTTAATATATTTTTTTAGTTGTCAATGGACCTTTGTTTTGTTTATTTATATGAGGTGCTAAGAATCAAACCCAGTGTCTCACACATGCTAGGCAAGCGCTCTATCACCGAGCTACAACTCCAGCACCCCAAGCTCTTTTTATTTTATTTTTGAAGATAGTTACTGAATTATAATAGTAAGTCACAATGTTCACATTTATATCACAAATTAATGAAACTAAATACTTAATCCATTTCCAATATAAAACTCCAAAATTATAACATGAAGTAAAATACAAATTTATAAAATACAATTATAAATCTATATTATCATCCTAATATCAAATAGGAAATTAAATTTTAAAAAGGACTATTTAAGATAAGCATTTTTTTCTTCTTTTTACAACTTTAAAAAATTTTAATTTGTTATACATGGCAGCAGAATGCATTCGAGACAATTCATATTACACATATAGAGCCGAATTTTTCATATCTCTGGTTGTACACAAAGTAGAATCACACCATTCATGTCTTCATACATGTACTCAGGGTAATGATGTCCGTTTCATTCCACTGTCTTTTCTACCCCCATACCCCCTTCTCTTTCCCTGTTTCCCCTTTGCCCCATCTAGAGTTCATCTAATCCTCCCATGTGCCCCCCAATATTTTATTTTTTTAATATTTTTTTTAGTTGTAGTTGGATACAATACCTTTATTCATTTATTTTTATGTGGTACTGAGGATCAAACCTGCACCTCGCATATGCTAGGCAAGTGCTCTACCGCTGAGCCACAACCCCAGCCCCCATCAAGCTCATTTTTTATTTTATTTATTTTACTTTATTTTTGGCATTGAGGATTAAACCCACAGCTGCTCTACCACTGAGCTACCTCCCCAGTCTTGTTTATTTTTCAAGACAAGGTCTTGCTAAGTTGCTCAGGCTGGCCTTTAACATACCATCCTCCTCTCTAAGCTTTTTGAGTTGCTGGGATTACAAGCATGCATCACTGCATTCGACTGAACCTTTAGGTTTTATACTTATTAAATAAGCAAAGCAGCCTGTATAAAAAGTGATTTATGCCATGTGCAGTGGTATATGCCTGTAATCCCAGCAGCTTGGGAGGCTGAGGCAGGAGGATTATAAATTCAAAGCCAACCTAAACAACTTAGGTTGTGAGAAATTTAGCAAGACCCTGTCTCAAAATAAAAAATAAAAAGGGTTGGGGATGTGGCTCAACGGTTAAGTACCTGTAAGTTCAATCCTCAGTACAAACAACAACAAATACAGAAATAAAACCCAAGCTGTCTGGTGACACTCAGCAACATGGATGAGTTAGAAAACAATGTTGAGTGAAGAGCTAAAAAAACAAATCATGATTCCATTTATATGAGTTCTAAATCAGGAAACACTAAACTATATGTTAGCAGTTGGATAGAGGTTATCTCTAGGAAGAACAGGGATGAGTGACTGGGAGGGGTCATGAGAAGGGCTTCTATGATGCTATTAATGTTGTATGTTTTATCTTGGTAGGGGGTTAAATGGGTACAATCATTTTGGATGAACTATCAAGCCATATACATATAATTACAACATTTTACAGTAAACTCATTTTCATAAAGAAGAAAATAAAGTTATATAGCATGAAACTTAGGCCTTCTCTTAAAAAAAAAATTCCAAAAGAGTAAAAATGATAAGACATAAAAAATGTAAGTCTATTCCCTATATGAAATAAAGACATTTCCTCAAGTATTCCTTAAACCAATGAAAAACCATGTCTATAAATAGTACCACGTTTAAGCTTTAAAATTCAGTAGCAGAGGTTATTACTAAATAGGTAATTTGAAATTTAAGCCTTAAATTTTAGATTTTCTATATGCAGAGCATGGTAAATATATAAGAAAAATACATTTTGCAAAATAATAAAAAAAAAAGTCACAAGAGATATCCCTTGCCTCTACATTGGACAGCAAAGAGAAGCATAAAATGTACAAACACTATTATGTCTTACCTTTTATATCTTACTCCAGGATTTTCATCCAAAGTGGCACATACTGTAACTATCTGCTCAGCCATTGCTTCCATAATGGCATCTTTTCCATTGGCATTGCCAGGGTCTGGACTATAACAGTAATAGAATGCATCTGGTACATCAAGAGTATACACCTAAGTTAAGCCAAAAAAAGTTATACTGTCAATCTAGAGACTTGACTTTTAAAATGTATCAAGAAAAATACAAAAGAAGAAAAAAAGAGAAACGCAATTGTGATTTGAGACATTAAAGAAAAAAATACTTGCACTAACCATGCTGTTTCCTGAAACAACTGTGTCTTTACCTCAATCAAATCATTCTGTCATCTTGATTTCATCCTTTATTTCTTTTCTCACTCTCCTTTCCTGCTTAGACTACCTCTCTCCTTCAATTCTTGTTTCATAAAGAGATTGTACAGTTTGCTTTTCACTACCTGTGCAACAGATGAAGGAATCTGAGGTAGTCAAACTAAAATAAAAATCTAATACCTGGTAGAAAGAAATACAACAAAGCCAAAATTTGCCTACATATCAAAGATTTAAAATCTTAGCCCATTAGAGAAAAACCTAGAAATTTCCCACAGTTGACATATGTCTTCAGTTCTTTAGATTCTTCATGTCTTCAAGATAAATATTTTCCAAAATGACATGCCACTGTGCCAGAAACAAGTCTTACCATAATGCAATGAATCCTTACAGATACATTCATCCATTTGACTAACTAAAGCATTTACTGATATAGAAAAAAAATGGATTGGAGGCTTGTTATTATTATACTATTTGAAGATACAAAGGCAGCAGCTCCCTATCAGTACTGAGAATTCCCCATTAAACTACACGGTGGGATTAATAAATAATAATAATATACCAGGTGTAAGAGCAGGCAAGTAATAAATAGTATAAGTTAAATAATGTATTATGAATAATCTACCTTGCATTTCCTTCCACATCATTCATTTCCTTCTGGAAACCATTCATTTCTCTGAACATAACCATGACCAACAGCAGCAGCAGCCTGAATGAACATGGACTGAGATTCAGCTATGGCCAATCCACTTCTTTTTGTGCTGCCCAAAGGTTATATTGCTGTATTAATTTATCAACAAGCACCCTACACTTGAACTGCAACTTTCTCATAGTATATTATCCCACTGCAGTAAATATTATTTGTTCAAAAGTATTTATTGCCCTGCCTTAGAAGGCTTCTCCCCATTTCTTACCCACTGATGGCAGGTTTGGCTATAATCATTGGAATGTGAATATAGAGACAAAAAGCTTTAAGAAATATTGTGTGGGGTTGGGATATAGCTCAATGATAGAGCACCTGCCTGACATCTGTAAGGCCCTAGGTCTGATCCCCAGCACTGCAAAACAAATAATTAAAACCTTAAAACAAAACCCATGACAACAACAACAACAGAACCCCACTGTGTGGTTCCAATATTTCCTCTTTGCCCTCTGCTATGTCCCAGAGCATCCCTTCAGTTTTAGTCCCAGAATGTAGAAAATGCAGAAGTCCAGGCAAACTACAATGGACAATAACATGAATGAGAAATAAATCTTTGCTATAACGCACTGAGATTGCAGAGGAGGATCTTATACTGTTTAAATCAAGCCATTTAATATTTCAGTGCATCAAAAAGGATTTAGGGGCTGGTTTTCATTCTATACTCACATTTCTTCTTTATCCCTCACTCTCTTCTTCCTTTCCACTTTCTAGCACCATCATTAAAAGTTCCTTTAGACCACTACCATATTTCTTCATCTTTATGACTCACAACTAGTTTCTTAATTATAGATCCCCTGCCTTTCTCTACTCTTCAGCTAGTTGACTTTCTATCTAGATATCTTTTAGCCCTCTCCCATTTTCTTGAGTGCTTTCCATCTACTTGCCTTAATGTATATGTGAGAGCATTACTTACCTTAAACCTTCTGAAGGGGAAAGAGATCTTTCTTTGATCCCTTGACTCATTAAATTATATGGACCTCCTAGGTTTAACTTCTAAATGTGTTACATGTTCAATTTTACTTCTTTGAGGCACTATCATATCTGACATTATCAACTGCTCCTCAATAATCTTTTGACTTCTGGGCCTCTTGTCTATGGCCATCTCACCCTAAACATACCTGATCTTGTCTGACTTCTAGGATTCTACTTCTCCTTAAAAACTTTAGGACCAGTCCCCCAACATTTTTTGTCATTAAACTTGGTGGGAGTCTCCTATTATATAGTCCCAACCTAACTAGAGAGAGCCTTCATACTCTTGCTCCTCACAATCCGTATTGTTGCTGCTCCCCTACAATTTTCTGCTTCCATATCTTTGCATTCAGATTCCCATCTTAGAGACTGTTACCTTTTCATTACTACTTTATGAAATTCTATCCATTCTTCAGATGTTTTCCCAATCTCTCTTTCTGTGGCAAACTGTGAGATTCCTCCCCCACAAACATATTCTCCCTTTCAGTAACTATACCCCAATTCATTAGGAGGAACAGCAATATATGTTCAGGCAAGACTACATTTCCATGAACTTAGATATGTGATTAAACTTTGGTTAATTAAATATAAATGAAAACTCTTCCTTCATTCTCCCTTTCATCCTGCTTCCTCAAATGAGAATATAATAATTCTATAGTCGGGCTGGGGATGTGGCTCAAGCGGCAATTCGCTCGCCTGGCATGTGCAGGGTGCTGGGTTCGATCCTCAGCACCACATAAAAGTAAAATAAAGATGTTGTGTCCACTGAAAAATAAATATTAAAAATTCTCTCTCTCTCCTCTCTCTCTATCTTTAAAAAAAAAATAATTCTATAGTCATCTTGGATCATGAGGGCCATGCCTAGGAGACCAGGTTCCTGACAATTCTGTATAGTCAGCATATAAGCTTTATATAGCTTATTTCCCACTTTCTTTAGTATTAGCAAAAACTACATTCTCTTGTTGTTTAAACTAACACATTTTCTTGTTGTTTAGATTTTCTGTTGTATGCAGTTGAACATAATCATAATTGATAGTTTTTTGAAGCTACATAATAATTTGTATCTCTTTTGTAGTATTCAAATGAGGGTAAGTCACATATTTTGCTTATCATTTCATAGCAGACTGCTTTGAATCTAGCAAATTATGTCCACTGAACATGATATTGATAAATGCTCACAGAGGTCTCTGCTTATAGTGCAAAGCACTTAGCAATATTTCATTTATATCTTTATTTCAAACAAACAAAAATCCCATATATTCTGTCATTTCTCCAAAATAGTTAAACTTATTAAGCAAATTCTCTTAAGATTTTTATTAAGGAAGTAAATTAAAAAGACTTTATAAAATCATAACATTTCACAAATACTGGTTGAGTAAAAACATCTCATGAGATTTCTCTGTATACATGCAGATAGGTTATTGCCATAAACTATCAAATTAGTCAGATATCTACATAAATCCCTCCTTCAAATATAGCAATTGCAGAATTTTTAATGAATTGTGGGGCTAAAACTATATTTATCTGCTGTGAAACAAGATGTTCTGGAAACATTTATAATGCTTATGCTACTGCTTATATCCCACAGGATTTTAGGAAACCTATTTTTATTCTATACTAAAATTTACATGTCATATTAAAGAAGTAAGCATAAAGCTAACTTCTCAAAAACAGTTTAATGCTAAGCAGATATCTGAACAGTTTTCAATTTGGATCATGATCTTTGTTGAAAAAAAGCAATTGCTTCAAAGAGAAATCCCTTATCTAGGATCCTTTCTATACCTCAATAATGAACCTCTCAGCTCCAAATAAAATTGAACTAACAATTTCAATTCTGTAAAATGCTAGAATCCAAACACAAAGAACAGAGCACAACAAACCTGAATAATTCATTAGCTGTGTGACTTGTTTAAATAAATTATCCTCTTTGATCTCTGATCTTTAAAATAGTTTCATAAAACTACTGTAAGAATTAAACGATTAAATTTATTAAAACATCCAAGAAAGTACTGGACACACAGTATTATACAAAATTTATTATTATTATCACCTTTACTATTATTCTATTTATTTATTTATTTTGCAGTATTGGGGATTGAACTCAGGACCTCACACATGCTAGAAAAGGGCGCTACCACTGAGCTACATCACCTGTCCTTTTTATTTTGAGATACAGCTTCACTGAGTTGCTCAGACTAGCCTCAAACTTGTGATCCTCCTGCCTCAGCCTCCTGAGTAGATGTGATTATAGATGTATACCAACACACTCAGCTCACCATTACTATTATTAATCAAAAGTTCATTAACTATTCCAAAGGCAAAATGAATAGAAAACCTTTATTGTATAAATTAAAATTTTATTAGAGAACATTTGATTTTGCCAGGTGTGGTGGCACATGCCTATAATTCCAGCAAATGGGGAGGCCGAGTCCCTAAGCTACTCAGAGAAACCCTGTCTCAAAATAAAAAAATAAAAAAAGGGCTGTGGCTCAGTGGTAAAGGTCCTTGGGTTCAATCCCCAGTACCCACCCCCCAAAAAAGCAGCAGCATTTGTTTGAATACCACAATGGCTACAAATGTTTTTCTGGTCTTATCTAACAAAAATTTATGCTTAGAAATCTCTTGATTTCATAATCCAGGAAGGCTGTAATTTGACTTTGTGGCAGATATGAAACTTAAGTCTCCTTTGTTCATTATTAATGTCATATTCCAATTTTTTGCTCATGTTTTTTTCCCTTTATCAAGGGGAGTCCTTATTTATGGATTAGGCACAAAATTCACAAATAATAAATAAAAACATCTTTAGAATATGCTTTATTATTAAGCTCATAAAATCAAATTTATAATCCATTATGAACTTAAAAAAAAGAGAAAGTACCTGAGATTCATGTGGAATGAAGGAAATATTTATTTCTTTACATCTTCTTATTGACTTGGGGGGACAAGATGTCTTAATTTTATTAAAGAGACTATCAGGGCAAACTGAGAAGAAAAAAAATTAAAGCACATAACTCCATCTAACTCTTTATTACTTTTGAATAAATCATCCCAACATTTAAGAATATTTTTATATATAATTAATGGCTTTCACAAAGTAATTTACTGTAAGTGTTCTTTACAGACAAGTATATTCAAGTCAAAAGAACTGTAACAGAAATTCCACTTTCTCCCATTCACACTCACCATAATCTCTACTAGAGATCTGTTAACAGAGCAAACTAAAATTGTTAGAAAGGAAAATTACATCCAAATTCATGACTTAATAAAATTGGCATTTTCAGAACTGCTTATAATTTTACTTTTCCAGGTTGACCAACCAGTAAGTGAAATACAATGCCACACAAACTGTTAATTATTCCTTGAATTAAAGAAACTTTTCTAATGTCCAGAAATTCTAAGATTCTAACTAGTCAGTTCTAAAACTTAGAGGCCATAATTTTACCATTAGATCTAGGTTGCAATATCAATAATAAACTGTTAAGATTGATAAGAGATAAAAATCATTGGCTCTTAATATCTTTTTTAAGATGGGGGTCTTACTATAATGCCCAGGCTGGCCTTGAACTTATGATCCCACTGCCTCAGCCTCCTGAGTAGCTGGAATTACAGGTATGTGCCACCATGCCTGGCTTCCTAATGCCTTTTAATATATGTTTCAGTCTCAAGATCCTTAAGTTTAGGCTAAGGATAGAACCCAGTGGTAGAACAATGCCTAGCATGTATAAGGCCCTGGGTTAGAACTGCATCAACAAGGATGGGGAAAGGAGGGAGGAGGAGAAAGATGGATTCCTTAAGTTAGAAGAAGGTTCACATTCATTAAATTTTATCAACTCCATATCATGAAGTTCTGTATAATAAAGTTACTTAAATAACAAATATTTATGATATGACTTTAAAAAAAAAACTACTACTGGGCAAGGAAAATTATATGCTCCTTAAAGTAAGCAATCTCTAATAGTAGAGACCAAGACGTAACTGAATTCATGGTATTTTTATTTTGAAAATATAGTTATATAACATAACATAAAACGGAAACGTGTCTTTGAACTTCTTATAATACTTTAGCTTCCTTTATTTGAACATAAATGTAACAGACTTTCTCTCTTACTGGGAGAAATGGATGGCTGTTTTTCCCAAAGGTTCTTATTTTTTATAGTGTAATCAAATTCTCAATTGAAACTGATTAATGATAAAAAAAATCACTAGTACCTAAACAGTATAAAAAGCAGACACTTTAAAATTAACAGGATCTTAAACAATGAAGTAATAACTTTTAAAAAGATACTTACAGTCAGTGAAGTATAAATATGCTGCTTTGTATTTGTTCTCTGATTTACTTGAAAAATCTCGTAAGAAACAATCTACAGACTTAAAACAGGTTAGATGTTAATACACATTTTATTAATATTAATTTAAATATGCTAGCTTTTTTTAAAAAAGTATGCTAGCTTTTGAAATAACTAAAATTATTTCAATGATAAAATAAAAGTTTATTGGCTAAAAGTTTAATTTATAAACTGATTTTTACAGATGCGAAGTTCTCTAGCCAGTGACAGCTAATATGCAACAAAGAGTAAGGTAATATGCATGAACAAGGTGCTTTTATTGGCAATGTAGAAGTCTAGGAACTAAGCTTGAAGCAACACAGGAGACAATATTATTGAAAGATAACAGACCAAGGAAATGAAAAGCCAAGGTACTAGAAGTATCATCTACATGGATAATGAAACCACCAAGACTTATGACAAAAGTATTAAAGAACACGATGGTGAGGTAGGAGCTAAAATTGTCATGTGATTAAAATAAAAGCTCAGAGCTTGTTAGATGACTTTGAGGAGGAACAGCAGGTAATATAGGCAGTAGTTATGTGGTTGGTAGTATGTAGTCATTTTAAAAAAGAAAATCATCTGGATGAATTTATTATCTCTCTGTTCCTTTTTCTACTTCTGGAGATCCCAAAAATGTACTTCTGTTAGATCACATGGATCTTTATCTTTTCCTCATGATCTCCCCGACTTTTTTTCTCTTGAAGACATTCCATTTTGATCTTACAGCTCATTAATCCATATTTCAAAAGTGCAACCGACTGTTTAAGAAGTCACATTCTAACTGAAAAATAAATATTAAAAAAAAAAAAAAAAATAAGAAGTCACATTCTAAGGAGCTGGGGTGTGGCTCAGTGATAGAGCACTTGCCTAGCACGTGTGAGGCACTGGGTTTGATTCTCAGCAACACACAGAAAAATAAATAAAATAAAGTCATGGTGTCCATCTACAACTAAAAAAAATATTTTAAAAAAATTTAAAGAAATCACACTCTGAGCTTTAGAAACTATTTAAGGCGCTATACTAGACTCTCTTTATGTAGACTATTTTTTCTGTTTAGATTAGCATTCTCTTCAAGCAGCTAGATTTTGCTAGCTGTGTGTTTTCTTCATTTCACTGAATTTCCTCTCTTTGGTATCTAGACAACTTAGTTGCCAACTTTTCTTTTGTCAACTCAGTTGTGGCTTAGACTTAGTTGTTGAAAAATTCTAAATAGAGACAGTTCCACAACAGAAGGAAGACAAAGAGGTTTCTCATCCCACAGCAAAACCACCAAAGCAAAGTATATAGACCACTAGGGATTTTCTGAGACATTCAATTGACTTTTCCCCTGGAGTTTACAGATCTCTTACAGCAAACTCTTTCTGAAATCTGTCACATTAGGATCCTTGTCTGGGAACTCTTGTGTTGGTCTCCAAGTACTCCCAGTTCATGAGGATGCAAGTCTCATACTATGTTTCTTTACCAGAGCTCCGAAGAACCCCAATGCCTCACATACCCAGAGGTCTATAGAACCCAGCAGGCATTTGTTTCAGGACAAGAGGAGAAACTTCAGTTGGCTGTGGTAGGGAGGGGAGGCACATCCAAGCACCATCTTCTCTGAATCCTTTAATCCTTTATTGAATATACAATCTTATATCCTGATTTTATCATTTAATATTAAAAGTGAATTCCTAGGTCATGAAAAATTCCCACAACCTCATTTTTAATAATTACTCATTCTATGTTTTATTAATTCTAGTAATTTAACTGGTCTTATTTATTCATAGGAACTTTATTTGACCATTTATATGATTATTTTCTTACTATTAATTCTAAAATATAGAGCACCCTTATAAGATTCTTAAGAAAGAATGGCAAATTGTTTTTGAAAAAGGCTATTTCAATTTGTATTTCCACTAACAGTATATGGCAGTTTCTGCTTCATTACTAACAGATAAAATAGCTAAAATGTAACATACATATGTACACAGATATTGTCTGTATGTATACTGTGTGTGTATGAATGTATGAATGAATGAATGGATGAATGGATGGATGGATGGATGGATTGACTGAATGACTGACTGATTTGCTACGTAAAGAATGGTTTGCTTTTTGTAGTACTGGGGATTGATTAAACCCAGAGCCTTGTACTGAGCTACATTCCCAGCATTTTTAAATTTTATTTTGAGATATGGTCTCTGGCTAAGTTGCCCATGCTGGCCTCAAACATGGAATTCTCTTGCCTCAACCTTCTAAAAGTAGCTGAGATTACAGGTGTGTGTGCACCAGTACATCAGAAACAACAGTGGTTTTTAACTTGCATTTTTCTCTAATCATGAATTTTCTTCTGTGGAATTATATCATGGATAAATTATAAACTGCCATTAAAACCTCTTCTGTACCAGTAGTAATATGTAGAGGCTAAATATTGATTATCTGATTTTTTTCCCTATCATCTGCTAGAGTTAGAAGTGAAATGAAATTGGGATCCCCAAATGATGAATATTCTAGGTATAAATGAGTGAGAGGAGGTGTTGGAAAATACATTCTCAGATACTTTCTGAATATAGGAAGGAACTTTATTTGGCTCTAAGTTTGGTTTAAAGTATGAGTTAAATCATATAGTCAGACTGTAAATGGAAAAAGTTATTTTGAAATAAAATACAAAAACACACAGACATATCCTATGCACATATACACATACATACAGTACAGGAAAGTCACAATGATAAATAAAGGATTAATCCAAGATCTATTTCTTTTACCTATATTTCCATTTTCCTCAAAATTATGGATCAATAAAAACTGCATGAACAACAAATTATGCAAAGAAACTCTACCACTTTATACAATTAAATTTTGCTTTCATCTATATATATATATATATATATATATATATATATATATATATATATATGAGAAAGGAAAGCTTTCATTTTTGTTTCCATTGGGAAAAGAACAAATAAAACAACCTTCTAACAGAAGGTTACTAAACAAAATAATTTACGGAAATATTTTTCTAAAGAGGAGTATTTCATTACTTTTAATTTTCTAACAGCAAATCATGACAATACTGAAAAATATACTTTTTAATTTTATATACTAAAGAATATACTTTTCATTTTACATTTTTTATGCTGGGGATTGAACCCAGTACCTTATACATATTAAGAACTCACTGTTCCACTGAGATATACCCAGGGCCCAGGAATCCACTTTTTAAAGACAATATACTCACTTTTGATGTTGGTGTGATAAAATAAAGAGCTTTCATTTGTCTGACAGGTTCACGATTCTTATAAATATTCTCCACAACTAACAACAATAACAAAAAGGTCACTTTATATAAGCAAATATTTATGCATTTGAAACAAATTTTAAATAAATTTTACTGTACTTTCCATTTACAATAATAGAGAAACAGATTTATACACACTTGGTTTATGTTTTTTTTTTCATTTGATAAATTTTAAAAATCATAAAAGTGTGTCTTCCCTGAGTCTAAATCATAGGCTGCACTGCTTTCTCATTGTGAGAAAAAAAGATAAAACAGTGATTTCATAGGTAGGTTTACCAGCATAAGCAAAGAATATGCCATGAAAAAAAAGAAAATGCATTAAAAATTAAAAATATATTTCTTTAAAAATATTCTATTATAATAGCAAATATGATACCAGTTATACTACACTAAAGACTTTACATATATTATTTATGAAACCTTATAACCACATTATGAGTACTTTCCCTCGGTATTGGGGATTAAATTCAATGGTGCTCTTATCACTGAACTACAACCCCATGCCTTTTTAACTTTCTATTTTTTATTTTGAGACAGGATCTTGCTAAGTTGCTCAGACTGTCCTCAAACTTTTAATCCTCCTGCCTCAGCCTCTGGAGTAGCTAGAATAATAGGCATGGGGCACCATACCTGTTTATTTTGAGAGTATTTTAAAATTGAAGACACTAATCTTTTAAAACCACATACTAACATTTATATTTTTTCAACAATAAAACAAAGTGAATGTAACAAATTCTAATTGTCAAATTACTTAAAGCTCTTAAAAAAAAAAAAAAACTAAAAGTATCCTACAAATCAAAAGAACCATATTTCAAGACTTGTGTTGGCAAAGGACTATTAAGAATCAACATATGTGACATGCAATGAAGGCTACTGTTGGACTTTATTTTCCCCCAGTAGTGGAGATTGAATTTGGGGTTTTGTGCATGCTAGACAAGTGCTTTACCACTGAGCTACAACCCTACACACCCTGGACTTCTCTCTTAAATATGGTGATTTCATTTTCTCAAATTAAATTTCATTTTCTTAAATTAATATTACTAATGTACAATTTGTTATTAGATATCAAATAAAATTTCTAAAGAAAATTTCAAATACTTTAGGTAGGAAATTGTAATTTTTATACAATTCCAACAACCATGATTTTTACTTTTAAAAGATTAAGGTTCAGGGGGGTTGGGGTGAATTTTGCTAGTTGAGCACATACTAATTATTAGCATGCCTGAGGTTCTGGGTTCCATCCCCACAGTTCCCCCCAAAATGATTAAGATTCAATGTAAATTTACTTCTAGTAGTTAATACTCAAAATGAAGTATCTAACAATCATCCTGTGCTGTACATACTATTATAATTTGGTGAATAATGTACAGGTACAACATTGCAAAAATGAAATATCTGTTTAACAAGAGCAGAAAAGTATTACTTCTCCAATTCACTGAAAGTGTATATCTATTAAATGATAAAGAAAGGTCTTGGGGGGCGGGTGTTGGGGTTGTGGCTCAGTGATACAGAGCTTGCCTGGCACATGTGAGGCCCTGGGTTCGATCCTCAGTTCCACATAAAAATAAATAAAAAATAAAGATATTGTGTCCAACTGCAACTAAAAAATATTTAAAAAAAAAAGAAAGGTCTTCAATAATGCAAAAGTCTAATTCTAAATCTATTTTTTAAGGTTTTTATTTGACTTTATCTGCACTGAAGTAAAATTTTTTCATATATATATATATATATATATATTTTTATATATATATATTTTTTCATATATATATATATATATATATTTATTTTAGTTGTTGATGGACACAATACCTTTATTTTGTTTAGTTTTTTTTTTTTTTTTTTTTAATGTGGTGCTGGGGATCGAACCCAGTGCCTCACGCATGCTAGGCAAGTGCTCTACCACTGAGCCACAGCCTGAGCCTCTTCCCTCGTTGATTTTTAAAGAATAACAAGACCCATGCTGGGCACAGTGGCACATGCCTGTAATCTCAGCTGCTTGGGAGGCTGAGGCAGGAGGATTCTGAGTTCAAACCCAGCCTTGGCAAAAGCAAGGTGCTAAAAACTCAGTAGGACTCTGTCTCTAAATAAAATACAAAATAGGGCTGGGAATGTGGCTCAGTGGTTGAGTATCCTAGAGTTCAATCCCCTGTACCATAAATAAATAAATAAACAGATAAATAACAAGACACTACTGAACATTTTCAAAATGACCTGCATGACAAAATAAAGTCTGACCAGTGAATATGCCAATGCCAAGTCTCATATAAAGGTTTTTAGAAGGGCTAATATAAAATTTGAAAGGACCATAAGTTTAAACTAATAGATAATGACTGTGATTAAACCTACATGACTCTGGAAGATATTGAGAACATTCCATTGCACTGTGCTCTAAGATATAGTCCCAGGAGGAGGAGGAGGAGGAGGAGAAGGAGAAAAGGAGGGAGGGAGGGAGGGAAGGAAGGAAGGAAGGAGGGAGGGAAGGAAGGAAGGAAGGAAGGAAGGAAGGAAGGAAGGAAGGAAGGAAGGAAGGAAGGAAGGAAAAGAAAAGAAAAGCTGTAGTCAAATAAGCTTAAAAAAGGAATACTAATATTTTACCCAGGGGATCTATATATGTGTTGGTCTACAAGACCAGGCCACAGTAAGAAAAACAATGGTCTACAGAAAAAGGTAATTAAAAACTCTTTATAGTGCTCTACAGTTTCATTGTGCTTTCACACATTTATAAAATGGTGCTCATCCTAGTTTCAGACCAAAATATCCTCTGGGAACTTGAAAAACTTACATAGCCTTAATCAACAATTTACTTTTTTAATAGTAAAAGAAATTAAAGCTTTAATCTAATTTCTAGTTTACAACTTTTTCCATAAAGATCATAAATTGAATATATAATATAATCAATGATAAAGATTAATTTATATGTGACTATCAACACACAAATATTAGCTGGATGTGGTGGCATATACCTGTAATCCCATCTACTCTGGAGGCTAAGGTAGAAGGATTGCAAATTTGAGGTCAGTCTGGACAATTTAGCAAGATCCTAACTCAAAATAAAAAAGGGCTGGGATTGTAGCTCAGTAGTAGAGTGTCTATAGATTCAATCCCTAATGCCCCCAAACCAAACCAAAAACCAAACAAAAAAGCCCATAAATATTTTATGGTCAGGCTTTCTAAAAAATATTGAGTATATACTTAGGAGCAAAATATAAAAGAACTGTATTTGACTTTGAGTCTGTTTCTTCATTGCAGATGGGGGTATTTAATCTCTCTCTACAGGGGAATTATGAAGATCAAACTTATAAATAAATGAGTTAATGGACGATGAGTTAAAAATAACATGATCATGAATGTTATAAGATGTTGGTACTTCCTCCAGAAGGTAATACAGATTAATACAACATAACTTCGAATCAACATTATGTATTTTAAAATATGCACAAAGGTTGATTTTATGACATCTTAATAGTCATTGAAAAAGAATACAAATAAATGACAAGGGCAGGAGGTGTCGCTCAGTGGTAGAGTGCTTACCTAGCACATGTGAAGCTCTGGGTTCAATACCCAGCACTACAAAACAAAACACTAAAAACAAAAACCCCAGAAACATTAATGAAACCACTGAGGTAAACCTAGTGTAGCAATAAACTAAACTACTAAATATGTAAGAGGAAAAAAAATTAAAGAACCACCTCAACAAAGTAATTGACTTAAGTCTTGGTCAGGGCACTTAATTATATGTCTCCAAGGTAAAAATTTAGAGAGGTTATTTATTGGTAGAGTCATAATGAAACATAATGTCCTCAAAAATAAAATTACAATAATTTTTTTATAGTGCTGAGGATTGAACCCAGGGCCTCACTCACACATGCAAAGCACATGAGCTACCAGAGCTATAACCCTAGCACTCAAATTTCTTTCTTTCTTCTTTTTTTCTTTTTTTGGTGGTATTGGGAATTTAAATCCAGAGGTGCTCTACTACTGAGCTACAACTGCACTTCCCTTTAATATATATACACATATATATGTATATATATATTTTTTAGTTGTTGATGGATCTTTATTTTATTTATTTATACATGGTGCTGAGAATTGAATCCAGTGCTTCAAACATGCTAGGCAAGTGCTCTACCACTGAGCCACAACCCCAACCCTTTCTGGCCCCTTTTTAAATTTTCTTTTGAGACAGGGACTCACTAAATTGCCAAGGCTAGTTTCATATTTGTAATCCTCTGCCTCAGACTCTGAAATTACTGGAATTACAGGTATGCCCACTGTGTCAGGCTCCCAGCACTAAAATTTCTCAATACTTCAGACCTTCCCAATCAGTATAAGAAAGCATTCATAAGAAAAATTTGTAACACTTACCAGTTATACTTTCTTCTAGAAGATCTGTCATTTTGCAACATGATGCCAAAAGCCTAGTGGTAAATTCATCTAAAAGCATTATCTTAAAAGAAATACAAATTAATATATTATAAGTATCTGAACACCAAAAATTCACAAAAGACAGAATTTTGGCCCTTAACTCTACTCAGATTTATAGATCATTTATAACATAAAATTAAAATATCAGGACAGTTAGCAAAATGATCTCAACTCATGTTTTAACTTACATGATCTGAAAATTAATTTTATCACTAGACATACACACAGTATTATATATAAGCACAGGAATAGAAATATTTCTATTTTGATGCAGGAGCTTGTTCATTTTAAATGTCTTATATTTAACATAAGATTTTCTTCAAATCACGAATCATCACTTACTGAAATATGACACTTAGTTCACTTAAATATTTACAAGTAGCACTTGAGTTACTACCATCCTTATTTTATAGACAAGAAAACAAGAGGCAGAAACAACCATTACGATGTGAAGTTAGGATTTGAAGGCAAACAGTGTAAGTCCAGATCCTATTTCCTTACAGAAGTATCCTAAGTACAACATACTGAAGTCCTCAATATAAGAGCAAAGTATACAATTTTACCTTCCATTCACCTTCTTTCTTGCAGTCATCAAACACTGTTGCTTTTATCTCTGTTTAAAAAAGGGGGGGGATTATTTAGGAATCTAAATCAACAGTTTGTAAAAATAATAATAGCAACTACTCAAGAGGTCCAAAATGACTTGGAAAATTCCAATTTGAAAATAAGAAAAACTACATTAAAAGCATACATATTTGTTGTACCCTAAGTAAAAAATCCAATATATTTAATACCTAACATATAAGTACATTTCAACTATATTTTTAAACTGAGATAACAATTATAAAAAGGGCTAATATTTTTAAGTATATAAACATATAAGTACATGAAAATATTTCTGAAAATTTTATCTAATTTGGTTTTTTCTGTTCTACTTAAATCTTAAGTAAATAAGATGAAAACAAAAAAATCCATAGGACAATCCTAAACTAATTTATAATTTATCCTAAAATAATTTACTCATAAATTATATTCAACAATTGAATCTGCATAAACATTTTTCATCCTGACTGACATTATGTTTTGCATCCCTCCCTCCCTCCCCTTCTCTTCCCGCCCATATATAATTAAATTAGGATAAAAACTTTGCCTTGATTTATCAAGAAATATTATATGATCTTTTAAATAATTTTCAAAATTAAATATTTTATAAACTAGTTCATGGATTTACAAAATCCCTTACATAATAAAGAATACATGTAGGTAATACATACAAATTCTATTTTATAATAAGACAATCTCCTATATTTAATGTTTTTATTGATAGTCAATTAAATTTGAAAACTGTAGTAATATTGTACCTAATGCATAAAATATAACTAAAATGTAAATTATGGTAAGTCTTCTGTCTTTCACTAATTCTTATAAATGAGATAGTTATACAATTCATTTAAATTTTTCTATTTCATAATTTAAAATTGTTTTAAGCTAATCCTTTTGGAAAATTTACCATCAAGTTCTTCATACCATGTTAAAAAACAATAGCTTCTGTAACGGATGGGATATAACTAATAAGGGTTACTATGGTATAATTTTTAAGAATTAGGTCTTTGTTCCTAATTCCTGGCATAGAGCCTCTAGAGTGCTTGAAATCTACTGAGTGAAAGAGGATCTATGCTATATTAATGACATGACTCTTGGCTAAAGGGCTCCTAGATAGCTTTGAGACTCAGGTTGGTCACAGAAAAGACCAAGACATGACCTCCATGGAGGAGAGAGGGGCAGGAGATTGAATTAAATCACCAATGACTTGATTTAATCAACTGGGCCTACATAAGGAAATCTCCATTAGGAAAAAAAAAATTTAAAGGAAGACCTTGGAGAGCTTCAATCGAATGTTTATCTACATACAAGAACAGTGGTGTACCCCAACTATGCTCCAGACCCTTCTGGATCTCACCCTTATATATTTCTGTATCTGGCTATTTTATTTGTATCCTTTATAATACACTGATAATAGGAAGTAAAGTGTTTTCTAAAGTTTTGTGAGTCATTCCAGTAAATTATTGAACCTGAAAGGGAAGAGGGATTGTGGAAACCTCTGATTTGTACCCAATCCAGGAAGAAGCATGGATAACCTGAGGACCTAGTATTTGCTAACAGTATCTGAAGTGAGAGCAGTCTTGTGGGACTGAACCCTTAAACCTACAGTCTGACATAGTTAAGTAATACTAGGTAGAGTCAGAATTAAACTGAATAGCAGGATACCCTACTGGTGTTCACAAGTTAAAGAATTAATATAGGGCAGGGTATCATATTTGGTGTCAGAAGTATTGTAAATAAAAAGTTTAATTACTATTAAGAATTGTGAAGTGGAAGGCTTTACTGTGACTGAGAAACTGCTGAGAAAAATTAGGTAACACAATTATATATTGCTTGCTAGGAGGATTATAACGTTATCTGAGAAGAATTATAGTAAAAAAAACAGAAATATTTAACTATAATTTAATCCAAAGCACCAGTTTCTAATACCCTATAGGCAAATAAACAAAGGATTTTCTCAGTTAGAGCTCAGATACTGAAATATTATGCCACTTCCCTTTCTAAATTAGCTTCCTTCCTGATACCTCAAATAAGCTCAAATTGAAGACATTTTGTTTATTCTTAGCAGATTTTCTTGTTGTCTTTCTCTTAAGAAATGAAAATGGAATTAATGACAGAGCAGATTGGAGAAGGGGTAACCTGATAGTTTTACAACTGAATTCTACAAAACATTTAAGAAAGAATTAATACCAATTCTTTCTAAACTGTTCCAAAACACTGAAATAGAAGATACTCTTTTTATGAGGCAAGCATTATAGCAAAACCAGACAAAGACAGAATTAAAAAAAGAAAACTACAGACCCATATTCCCAAGAGTACAGATACAAAAATTCTCAACAACAACAACAAAACAAACAAACAAAAACTAGCAAACCAAATTCAATAACATATCAAAACTATCATATATCATGATCAGGTGGGATTCATCCCAGGCATGCAAGGACAGTTCAACATACACAAATCAAAAACCATGATACAACACATTAACAGAATGAATGACAAAACTCTTATGATCATTTCAATAGATGCATAAAAAGGATTTAAAAAGGTTCAACAAGTTGGGCATGGTGCTACATGCCTATAACCTGTGACTTGGGAGGCTGAGACAGGAGGGTCGCAAGTTTGAAGCCAGCCTAGCTAGACAACTTGGCGAGATCCTGTCTCAAAAAATAGAAAGGGCTGGGGATGCAGCTCAGTGGTAGAGTGCCTTTGGATTCAATTCTCAATACCACCAAAACCAAATGAACAAACAACAACAAAAAGAATTAACATCCCTTCATAAGGGCCTAGAGTTGTGGCTCAGTGGCAGAGCACTTACCTGGCACATGTCAGGCACTGGGTTCGATCCTCAGCACCACATAAAAACAAATAAATAAAGGTATTGTGACCATCTACAATTTTAAATTTTTTTTTTAAAAATCCCTTCATGATAAAACTCAACAAATTAGGTGTAGAAAAAACAATCCTCAAAATAATAAGTGCTATATAAAAAAAAATCCATGGCCAAATGGGGAAAACCTGAAAGCAATTCCTTTAAAATCAGGAACACGGAAGGGCTTTCCACTTTCACCACTCTGATTTAATATATAATATTGGAAGTCTTAGCAACGGCAATTAGGCAAAAGACAGAAATAGCATCTTTTGAAAGAAATTAAGATAAATTATCCATGTTTGAGGATGACATGATCCTACACATAGAAAACCATAAATTACTCCATCAGAAAACTGTTAGAACTTACAAATAAATTCAGTGAAGTAGCAGAATAAAAAAACCAACATAAAAAAGTAGTATATCTATACACAGATAATGAACTTACAGAAAAAGAAATTAAGAAAGCAATCCCATTCACAATACTACAAATTTAGGAAGTGAAAACACTGGTAAAAGAAAGTAAGATGATACACACACAAAAAAATGGGAAGATAGCCTATGTTCATAAATCAGAAGAATCAATATTGTTAAAATAACCACACTATCCAAAGTGATCAATAGAGTCAATGTTAATTCCCATCAAAATCCCAATGACTTTCTTGACAGAAATAGAAAAACCAATCCTAAAATTCATTTGGAATCACAAATGACCCAGAATAGCCAGAGATCCTGAAAACACACACACACACACACACACACACACACACATCACACAAGGCTGGAAGCATCACAGCACCAGACTTCAAAATATACTACAAAGCTCTAGTTACTAAAAAAAGTATGGTACTGTATAAAAAACAGATACATAGACCAATGGAACAGAACAGAGAAGCCAGAAATCAATCCACACTCATACAGCGGATTGGTTTTTAACAAAGACACTAAGAACATAGAGTAGAGAAAGGACAGTCTCTTCAATTAATAATGCTGGCAAAACTGGATAGACATCTGCAGAATGAAAATAGATATCTTTCTCTGATATCTATTTTCATACACAAAAATATGTATCAAAATCCTAAATCTTAAACCTAAAACTATGAAATTACTGTATAAAAACATACCAGAATCACTTCAAGACAATGGTATAGGCAATGATTTTTTTCACATAGGACCCTAGAATCACAGGCAACAACAACAACAAAAGACAGGCTTACCTTAAATTAAGAAGCTTTTGTATATCAAAGGAAGTGACAAGATTAAGTGACAACCTACATACAGAAAGGGAGATAATATTTGCAAAAGATACGCCTGATAAGGGACTGAAAACCAAAACATGGTAAGAAACTAAAAAAGATGAACACCAAAAACAGTCCAAATAAAAAAATGGGCTAAAAAACTAAACAGACACTTCTCAAAAGAAGTCATAAACATCCAACAAATATATAAAAATGCTCAACTTCACTATTCAGCAGAAAAATGCAAATCAAAAATCACAGTAAGGTGTCCTCTCATTCCAGTTAGAATGGCTATCATCAAAAAGACAAGAAATAATGAATGCTGAGGATGTTGGGAAAAGTGAACATTTACACACTTGGTAGCAATACAAATTAGTACAGCTATTATGGAAAACAGTATGGAGATTCTCAAAAAAATTAAAAGTACAACTATTATATGGTTCAGCAATTCTGCTCCTGGGTATATACCCAAATCTTAATACCAAAAAATGAAATCTTAATACCAAAAAGATACTTGGGACCCATGTTCCCTGCAACATTATTTATAAATAACTAAAATATGGCATCAACCTAAATGCCCCTCACAGGATGAGTATATTTACCACTTGGTCATAAAAGAGAATGAAATTCTGTTATTTGTAGCAACATGGATTGAACTGGAGAACATTTTTTGGGTAAAATAAGCCAGACACAGAAAGACAAACACCACAAGTTCTCACTTATTTATAGAAATTGTTACGGTTTGGATATAAGGTATCCCTCCAAAGCTCCCATGTTAATGCAGGAAATCAGAAATTAAATGATTATGAGAACTATAACCTAATCATTGGATTAATCTATTTGATGGATTAGTAATTTGAAAGGATTAACTGCATTGTAACTACAGGCAAATGAGGTGTTGGC